AAATGAACTTCAAATTTATTCCCCCTTAAAGGACCAAAATGCCCTCTTAATTCATCTATTGCTACAAATTAGTCTAAAACACTATTTCTAATCATTTTCTCATCTTTTATCATGTATTCAAATAAATATTTAAATTTTAAATCTTTTCAATAAAGTCTCTGACTTGATATTTAGGGTATTATAATCTCGATATTTAGGGTTATTGTAGTCATTTTAGGGTCCAAGCACATTAGTTATTTCAAAACTTGAGAATAATCCATCATTTAAATATTTCAGTGACGTGTCGCACTTTTAGTAACTAATCTTAAAATGATCATTCAAAAACAAAGAGATCATCGTATTGAGAATTTCCAAATGTGGAAGTTAATTTGTGGGGTTTTTCAAATATATTAGGAATTTAATCGATGATTCCAAGGTTCAAGCGAATCAAAATTTGAGTTCTCAGTTCATCTCCATTAGCATAGTCATCCATAGCCATTTTTACATTTTTAGCATATTATCGTCATTCCATTCAATTCTGTTAGTGGCATTACTTCCGATAAATTAGGCTTCAAAGTATTCAAGTTCCTTTAGAGTTTAGGGTATTTTGGTCATTTGAGTATTTGAGGTTATTTCGTAGCTTGAGGATATTTTGATAATTCCCTTCAATAAAAAAAATGCACTTTTTCTGATAATTGATTAAATATGTCATTTAAGGGTTATTCTTCACCATAAGGGGAAGTCTTGGTCTTTTAAAGACAATGTCATTTTTGTAATTTTACCCCATAGGGCTATTTTTAGTAATTTATTATCCAAATATTCCATGTATTTAACCTTTAAAGAAATTAATTAAAATTTATGAATCTTAAAGTTAATTAATTTATTAATGAATCACTGAACTTATAATTATTTTTTATCGATCTTTCAATTTCTTATGCGAGCCATCTGATTCTTATACAGTTTACTGTCTTTTTACCAAAATTATGTTCAAGTCCAAAAATAATTAATTTTACCCAAAGGACCAATCATTTCATCAATGGAGTTACCAATTATCAACAAGTTCCGAAAAACATACAAAATGTAGTAAATTATTACCTCGATTTTTGTGCTCCACTGATCGAACATTTAAACTTCATTCAATCACCCTTGAACTTTAAATTTACGGCCGTTAAGTTCGTTTTACTAAATTCGTACTCGGTAAGTCATTTTTCAGTGATTTATGTTTTGAATCAATTTGGTTTTTCGATTAAGTTCAGTTTCTGACGTAAATTTGTTTGCTATGTCTCTAAGACATTATGGGGCGTGGAATCGACATAAAATCGTGGTGATCGGGGGTGGAGATGACAAAGCTTTACGACGGATTTTTACGGCGATCGATATCGTCTCATGGTAGAATAGTTGTTGGGCTTTGTTCGTCAATCGAAGGCGAGCACGATGGTAACAACGGCATGTTGAATGGTGGCCAGACGACGACAAATTTGGGGTTAAAAGAGAGAGGGCGCGACCAGGCTAAAGATTTAGGGGGAAATTTAGGGTTTTTGCTCTTTTATAATAGGGGGTTTAACTGAGTTTATTCTTTCACTGCCTAAGAAAAAATGGAAATTTTAGGATTAAGTCCCTAAACTTTTCAAAGTTTTGAAACTAAGCTACAAGTTTCTAGGACCTGCAATTTAGTCCTTTAAATTACTTAAATTAATAAAATCCAACCCCTAAATTGGGGTGTGACATGGAACTTTTACATGAAAGGCTTTCCGAAGATGGCATTATGGTCATATGCCTAGTTTATTGTGAGGAACTCTATATCGACTGTGACAATGTGTCTGTCATCCCTCAAGGTAACAAACAACATGATAAATTCTTTTACTTTTACCTTTACCAAATGTTTGGAGAAGCCATAAATAGGTTCATAAGGTATTAACTACTCTCACAACCCTTTCATCTTCTAGAATGCTTCCCATTGCAGTACCTTAATTTCACATTGTCTACCAAAAGTCTTTTAAAAATGACGTCACTAATGCGATCTGAGTACCAATGGATTATTAATGGTTTCATTAAGGACTTTGGAAGAATCCACGTCCATGAAAGTAAACTTTCATTCTTATATAAGTATAAGCCTTTTTAATACGTTTCTTATGGATATTACACTTTAGGGGTTTGACCTTTTTCCTAAGGATGTCGAAGGTTGAGATCCTTTTATGATTACATTAACAAACCCTTTAACTTGCTTGGGTACACACTTGAATGGGTCATGAGATGAGGGATGAAAATTGAACTAGCTATTTAGCTATAAGGAACTCATCTTTATTAATTCTTCAAGGCTGGTAAGGTTCACGTTCACCGCACCAATTATTGATAGGACAATATGGGTTGCAATGGTTGTAGATAGTTCACCTATTTTAATTTGGGCATGAGTTGCAATATATGATTTTTAGGGAGAGTGGTGAATTGAAGATAATGCACAATGCAAGAAATAGAGAGTAAGGTTCGCTTCAACTTTGCATGACTGTTTACATACGTAGTGTCAAATCTAGAATAACGATGACTATTTATAGGTCCATAAGATGAATAGATCTAACTATCATGTAGAAGATTTAGTCAGATGACAAGACTGCCAACAATCATATCAAATAATTATAGTAGTCTGAAGGATATAAAACTCTAAAGGTCTTAACAGAAGGAGGATTTCATTTGGAGGTTCTAATCAACTGAGGAGGTCCAAGGGAGGTACGACCAAATTAAAATATTATTAAAAATATTACATAAAAGGTTAAATGAGAGGTATAAATAGAAATATGTGTCTTCCCTCATCAACCAATCAGAAAGTAGTGATCTGACACGTCTTGCCACATAGGATAAACGCGGGATCAATTGAGAGCGTTTTAACAAAAGCACAACCAATTGGACACATATTTATCTTACGTGACCTAAAAGGATGTCATTTTTGAAATTAATGTTATTTGGGTGCTATTTTGTTAATTATATGAATGGTAATCATTCTTATAAATTCGCCATAGTTCTTGTTGAATTTTAGGTTAAGTAATAAACTATTTTATTATAATTATACGATATATATTTATAAATAAATTATTACAATATATAATGAGAGTGGGTTTTATTCTTAACTAAAATAAAAAATTATTTTAAAAATTAGTCTTAATATAAGAATAAGTGTTTAAATTACACTCAAAATTAACTTTAGTTGTTTAAAGAAGTTTTCGTTAAAAATAGTCACCTAACGTTTCTGACGTTTCACTTTTAAGTGAATGTCGTTAAATTCAGTGTTAAATTAGACTTTAGGTGAATGTCGTTAAATTCAGACGTTTAACACCTATTTTTAACAAAAAAAATTCTTTAAACACTTAAATTCAACTTTAAGGTATAACCTTGAAAGCTTATTTTTATATTAAACCAAAAATTAAATCAATCAAAATGAAAAATAATAGTTTAAATTTAGTATTACGTTTATAATCTTAAATTTCATGTAAAACAGAATAGAAAAGATTATATCCTACATAATAGGATGCCTATAATATTTGATTACGACTTGCCTATATAACCCATTAACTAAACACTATGATCCTATATTAAAATTTAATATTAATATACGAGAAACTTGCCAATAAGGTTAGTACTTTAAAAAGTAGAACTAAAAGCAAAAAGGGAAAAAAACTGAAGATAATAATAGCTTCTTCTTTTTTGTAAATTAAAGTGTAACAGTTTTTTTTATTCTAAATTAAAGTGTAATAAAATCAAATAATATTAATAGTAAATGAGTTATTATTATTTTTAAAAGTTTTGAACTTAAGTATCATAAATATTAAAAGGGTAAAGTATATAAATGGTCACTGAACTTTTCAGATGCTTTTATTTAGGTCCCCCAACTTTTAAAACTTGTAAAACAATCACCAAACATTTAGTTCATTTGCAATATGGTCCCGACATAACGACCGTTTCATTGTCATTAGGGTAAATTATATAAATTGTCACTGAACTTTTAAGGTGCTTGCATTTAGGTCTCCCAACTTTTAAAACTTACAATATAGTCATTAATTACATTCTAAACCCCAAATTCCAAAATATTTAAATTACATTCTAAACCTCAAATTCCAAAAATACTTTAATTACATGCCTAACCCTAAATTCATAATCCATTCTCAAAATCTGCCATAACAAATTAAATTTGAAACATCAACCCAAAACTCTCACAACATAACCCTAAATGCTAAATTTCCCCACCAATTAACCCGACATAATCAACAATATTTAGTTCATTTTGGGTCCATAACAATAAGTGATTATGTTGGGTTTAGGATTTAAAAGTTAGATTTAACCAACTATAAGTGAAAAATACTCAATTCGATTCGAAAAAATTATTTTTTGACTTGAATTGATTCAAAAAATTTGATACAAATTGACTTTGAGTTGTAATTTCACAAACTCAACCTAAAAAAATTTCAAGTTAAAATCGAGTTGTAAAATATAACTCGAATATCTCAAAATTTTTAGTAATTAGTGGATTAATTTTTAAGTTTGAGTCAAGTCCCTTGACTTTGACTTTGTATGATATATGTATGTCCCATATGAAAAATTTATGAAGAAATATATGTATTGTATATGGTTAAAAAACTATTTAAATTAGAATCAAATAATCATTTTGGGGTTTAAAATGTAATTAATGATTGTGTTGTAAGTTTTAAAAGTTGAGATACTTAAATACAAACGTCTGAAAAGTTCAATGACCATTTATATAATTTACCCTAATAGAAGTGAAACGGCTGTTAAATCGAACACCATATTACAAACGAACTAAATATTTGGTGATTGTATTACAAGTTTTAAAAATTGATGGATCTAAATGCAAGCATATGAAAAGTTTAATAACCATATATATACTTTACCCATATTAAAAATATAAGTATTTAATATCAAAAAATTAAAATTTATCTTTAAATAATTATTAATTTATACTTATCAAGATTAATGAAGACAAATAAATTAACGTGATTAATACCATAATTTGTACGGTTTGCTTTTTCTGATTTTGTCTTTCAATCCTTTCAAAATAAATATTTTCAAATTCGAAAGTGAAAGAAGTGGAGCTCTCTCTTTAATCCTCTCTGTCTCTCTCTCTCTATATATATATATATATTATTTTATAATATGAACCAAATAATTTTAGTGTAAAAAAATTATTGTTATTTTTTAAATTTTAAATTCAAATATTATAAATACTATAAATATAAATTATCAATGTCAAAAAGATTGATATCATATTTTACTTGCATTAGATTATTAAAAAATTATTACTTTATGATCCTATAAATTATTAAAAAATTATGACCTGGTTAGGATACCCATATCAATATTTGCCATTGGATAGAGTAATTTGAAAATTCGTGACGAATAAAATATCAATAATTTCCATTTGCCTAGAATCTAATTTTCTAAACCACAAAAAAACAGAGTGAAAATTTCAATGTTTTCATGGGGTAATTCTATAATGAAATAACCCCGAAAAGAAAAACGGCGTCATTTTAAAATTTTCTCCTACACTCCCCATAGTTTCCCTTTTTCTCTAATTTTTACCCCTACTATTTCTTTCTGCCACCTATTTTCATTCTTACAAGAGCCACATCGCCAGCCATTACTAGAGGAAAAATTCAGACTGCAACAAGGTATAGTAATTAGCAGCCTCGTCTTCAAGTTCCCATAACCTATCACATAAAGCAAATCCATTTCCTCCATTGTCAAGACCTTGTTCAAACTCAAAAGCAGCTTCTCTATTAGGAATCCCAAGCTCATCATCGGAAGCCTCAAGCAAATGCCGTATGACTTGCTCTTTATCATCCTGCGTTCCCCCGTCTTCTTTCAGGGAAGAAGTCGCCGAGGTATAGTCATCTACGGTGCCGATGCCGGTGTCGGTATTATCTTTTTTGGTTGTGGGTCTAGGGTTTTCTTGGTCTGCTTCTGGTGTATTAGTTGTTGGGTAAATAAAGATGTCATCTAAAACGGTGTCGGAAGAAAGTTCGTGTTGTAAAGTGGTGATGAGAGGAGACAAGTCCTGGTTTGGCTCGTCCTCTTCTGCTTCAAGCAAAGAGAGGATGTGATTGTAGGACTTATGGCGTTTTGTTTCTTCATCTGGAATCTGGGTTTCTTCTCTTTGGCGCTTTAATGGAATCTGCTCAGCCATTGCGAAAGTGAAAGGAAACAATGGTATCAGAGACGGAGAGAAAGTGTAAGGGGAAGGATGAGAGAAGAGAAGGGAAGGTGGAAAGAATTATATAGGGGGAGGAAAGGGGATTTCTGGTCAAAATGAGTTCATAAAACTAAAAAAAGCAAGCAACAATATTTTAATGCAAAAAAATATGTTAAATGTTCTAATGTCACTATTATATAATTAATTTTGTGAAAGTATGAATATTTTATAAATATTTGTGGGGGTGGACCAAAACGGTTCAAAAATCGAGTTATAAATTAAATCAAAAAGTTTAATTTCTTTTAGGAAAAAGTATATAAATGATTCATCAACTATAATATATTATTTTGTTGATTCTTTAATTATTAAAAAATATAAAATAGTTCTTTAATTATGTGACACTATTTTATTTAATCCCTCAACTATTAAAAGTTATAAAATGGTCATTCGATTATTTATATGTTTCAAACTCATTCTTTTTCGTTAAAAATTTGACAGTCGTCTGAGTTTAATGTTAACATGTTAATTGAGATGTAATAAAATTATATTTTAACTATGTCTAGTGGCACTATAAAATTATATTTTTAACGATGTCTAGTGGCACTGTCTTTGCTTTAAAGCATTTATTCGACGACATAATATTTCAAGCACTTGCTTGATGACATAATAAAAATAGAGATTCGATCCATAAAATACAACTCAAATAGTTCTTGAATCAAATTTTGTCATATCCATATCAATATGGTAACATTCAAACCAGAAGATCACCAATTTTTTAACAAAAAATGACCAGTTTAGAACATATGAATAGCCGATGACCATTTTGGAACTTTTAATATTAAGAGGACTCAACAAAGTAACACCCTATAGTCGGGTGACTATCTTATAATCTTTCATAGTTGAATGACTCAGTAAAGCAACTTCTTATAGTTAGAGGACCATTTGTGTGCTTTACCCTTTTTAATAATTTAAGGTGATTACAAGATAATATATGTTTAGAATATTTATAGTTATTGGAATTATGCACAACTTACATATATAACTACTCCGACTTATATCTTTTAAAAAAAATAACATTTTTTTAAGTCAGACCATTCAATGGATTCAAATTTAAAAAAAATATCTAAAAATTAGAGGATTTGAATAATAATAGTATATCTAAAAATAGATTTAAATAAAATTGTTATGTATATTTAAAATATATTATATATATATTGTATAAATTAAATTTATAATATATAATATTGCAACAGATATGATCCTGTTACACAATGTAATACTCTTTTAGTTTTACACAAATTTAGTACCATTATTGAGTGAAATTAAATGACTGAGATTAACAGTAGAAACGAGAAAATATTAATTGAAAAAAAAGACAATGAGTTATTTTCAACAATATATTTTCACTCATTCAACTATCTTAAATCTATGTAAAATTAAAAGATTTTTACATTGTGTAAGTCGATCCTAACTCATATTGCAGTATGAATATTAAATAATAAATTGAGTTGTTCTTGTAAAAATAATAAATTTAATGATATGTATATATGATATAAAATATTATATATATTAATATATATATATGATTGAATCGCAAAAATTTTGAATTAATCATTTATAAATATGGAAAATTTTAAATTTTATTTAAATTTTATATATTAGTTAGATTTGAATAAAGATAAAGTGTTTTAACTTCATGTATAAATCTAACCAACTTATAAATACCTTTAAATAGACATGTACCGTAGTATTTTTTTTAAAAACTCTTAATCTTCTAACAATAAATTTTAAATATTTTATTAATTTTTTATGCTCGAACATGAAACTTTTAATAATAATAATAATAATTCTTTTAACTACTGATATAACTTTGTTTGTGTAATTTTATTATATACTTAAAATGGTTTTAAAAATTATAAATAATTCTAAAAAAATCAAAACAATATTTTTCTCTTAAAAGTTAAAAAAAGAAATTTATTTGTATAAAATGACCTAAACTAACTTTATGAGTTGGTATCTTTGATCTTCAAACGTTGGATTAGGATTTGTGGTTTGGGAAGGAGGATCAAAGGGTTGAAAAAGAAGATAAACATGAGCCTGAAATGAAAAGATATTAAAAGCTGAACGATAGAAGAGACAAAAAGATAGCAGAGTCTGTGCGCTGTACTCTCTATGCTTTTACTCTGTAAAATGAGGAAAGGCATAGTTTGAAAGTGGGCGGATCGCTTTTGAAAGTTTGTTTTAGTGGTCCCGATTGTTATCCATCTATTTATTATTAATTTTAAAATTCATTTTTATAAATTATCATTAGCTTTTTTTTAAAAATACATCCACATTAAAATTGTTATGTATTCTTTTATTTTATTTTAAAAATGTATTTTTTTTCTTCTAGTTTTGTTAATAAGACATTTTTTATTTTTTAAAAGTAAATAGCACATTTTTATAAATGAAAATTTGTTAAAAAAAATTATGTCCAGTTGTCATTATTCAGAAAAAGTTGTTCTCCATGAAAATGGATCTCACAACACTAGGTGAGATTCGACAAAAACCTAAAAAAATAAATAAAGTTGTCCCTTTTTCAAAGTTTATCTATGACACTAACTCGGTGATAGATAAAATAATGAATTATAGATCAACATATCACTAAAAAAAAGATTCATTTTTTTTGAATAATTCTTATGTAGGGAGAGGAGGAAAATATTTGCTCATAATGATTATTAAACTTATAATTTAGAAAATATGAGAGGAGAGGTTTAACTGGAAACTTTCAACATGTTCTATAGATTTTGATTTACTTGAAATCTGATTAATTGAGCTTCGGCTTGCTGGAAATAAAAAAAATATTAAAATCACGATTTAGACCTAAAAATGTAATAAATTATTAATGGATTGGTTAAAGTGGTAAGCAGTTTGATATCGTCTAAGCAATGTCTTAAATTCGAGTCATTGTGCATGCAAAAAATTCCTGCTGAGAGACTCACCCACCAAAATCAGGTGTGTAACGTGAATCAGTCCGAATTACTCAAGGTGAAACTTTAGAACCGGAAAGGCAAAAATAATAATAAATTGAGCTTTCGAGCAACAAAGGAAAAAGAAGGTTTATCAAAGTCACTTTCCTAGGTTACAGTAGATTCAATGCCCAAGAAGAATTGGTACTTGTTAGAGTAGCTTCGACTTGATGATGGTTTCCCTTGATTTTAAAGATTTGGCCAACTAAGTCAATTTCTAATTAAGAGCGAGAAGTCACTAATTATACTAAATGATGAAAAAGGATCGAGGCATGGAACGAGATGAGAAAAGATTTGAACGAGTAAGAGTAACAAAGATTTGGGCGAAGAAATAAATGAGTTGCAAGTGGTTGAAAGAGTGTGGGGTGGGAGGAGAGGAAAGAGTGATGTAACATTTAACATCCAATTGAGATAGTTCGACCCAAATACTAGATGTTATATTAGTCATCGAAGTGACTCGAAACAGAATCAATTTCAAAACATATGTAATTTTCTTTTGTTTTTAATAAATGATACATGCATCATGGTAAACTCAAAAAAGTAGAGCATACATTCACAGGGTAATGTCATCATTTAACTACACGCTTTCAAAAAGTCATGTCAAAAAGCCAAATTAACAATATCGATTTAATAAAAATTATCTCAAATGATTCTAAGCCAAATTTCAACTTAATCAAGGTTCTCAATTAACAAGAACTACGAAAATATTGGGGTTTAAGGATTAAATTGTAAAAATCTAAAAAAAAATCTAGTAATGGCTTGAAATTCTTAAATCCCTAGTTCCAAAGTAAAGCAAACCAATTTTAAAACCATACCCAAAATTTCAGGTAGTTTTCGAGTTAATCATCATTCGATTGCACTTAGAAAACTTAAGGTCATTTTGTAATGAAAACAAAATTGAAACACGCCCCCTCGCCCCTGAACTGACCAACTAATATTGATACCCGAAACTTGATTTCGAGACCAGTTTCATCCAGTTTCGATCCCAAACTTCATAATTGCAAAAAAGAAAGTGGCATTTTAACATCACCAAATCATATTGAATCATCATCGAATCACCTAAACATGCTCCTAGCAATATACCAACATGTCACATACATAAAAACACCATTGCATACCAAGTTTTATGATTTTAAAAATCCATCATATCAAATTTTATACCCTTAAGTACCAATTCATATAATATTTTACTTTTCAGGAACTCACACCCTTATTTTGAACATTTAGACCCATTCTACATTCTTAACAAGTCTAGCATACCTCATTCGTGCTTTCAAACTTGTCCATACAAAGAAAATAATATAAACAAAAAATTTGACCTTTCAACTCAAGTTTCATGTAAATTTTGCATACAAAATCAACCATTAAAAAACTCCATCATGCATCTCTCATACTTGTAACATACGAAAAGATCATTTAAGCCTAAAGTATCATCCCAAACATGCTTGAACTTCTAGAGTTATCTACATATCACTTTTTAGTTATTTCATCATGTATATTATGATTACCATCCACTACATAATATTAATGCATCCTCACCATTCATCTCTGTAGACACACTTTTTCTGACCGATTAGGAGCATACGTATATATATTATATATATTATCATCATTTTTTAAACTAACATTTTTATTTTGTTTTGTACAACTCAAAGCTCATTTACAAAGATGCTGACCCAATACCAATAGACCCAGCAGCCCAGAACCCTTACAAAAACCGGATCTGGAGCCCGACCCGAGACCCGGATCCATTAGTGCCCGACCCGATCTGAAACCCTAAAGTAGATTAGGGTTTTTAACATTTTAGCCACCAGTCGCTTCTCGTTCTCCACTGTTGTATCTGGACCCATCCAACGGTCCAGATCACACCAGAGATTAGGGTTTCACAACCCTAAGGCCTCCACTCCAGCGCCGTTCTAGTCGCATCCAGCAACCTCTCCGTGGAGTTTTAGGCACCATCACCAAGTCAAAAAACAAACAACAAGTTAGCAAGCAGTTGAGTCTTATTATAAGTCTATAATCGAACGGAAATAGGTTTTCA